GTAGAAATTGATTGAGGTGAATAGATTGGTTGAGATGTTAGAGATTTGCAGAAGTTGAAGAAATGGTTGAAGAAAGGAAGAGGAAAGTGAATAGTCAGACGGTTTCTTGGCATTCATCTGTCTTTTTTTTTTTTTTCAAACCTTTAGTCAGTGGTGGGGCTCACAAATAAAATTGGTAACAGGTAGATTTTCTGCTCATGGGGTCCAAGTTGGCATGTCAAGTTGTCAAAAAAGTTTGAGGTGGCGCTGACATGTGTATACTTGACGAAAGTCAACCGTGCACGTGCTACACGTGATGTTCCGGCGTTAAACTTTACCTCATTTCCTCAAACTCAAAAATATTAAGGGTAAAAATTCATGTATTGTAATATGAAGGGTAAAAACTCTCAAATTCAAAAAGTTAAGGGGTAAACAGGTACCTTTTGCCCATCAAACATGACCTTGACCATTGTAGGTCCTTGAATAACGTACAATATAAATTATCAATTAATACTAATAAAGCAAAAAGTTTAAATGAAAATATCACGTGGATATATCGGTAATGGAGTGAAAATATTTTTTCTTGAGGCAAGGCACTTTAGGTTTTCTTCTTTTTTTTTTTTTTCTTTTTTTTTTAGAAAAGGAATATATATATTGAAAATTAGCTGGCTACAATCGTTCTTGGGAAAGAAGTCCCAATTAAGTCATGATACAAAATGGAAGAAAGCCCAGGTGGACTTCCCTCGTACAAGACAAAATCACCAGCACTAGTAGATCCAAGTTTAGCAAGAAAATCAGCAGCCGCATTAGCTTCCCTATATATATGGGAGATCCTAGCATCCGTAAAGAGGCGTAGAAGCAATCTGCAATAAGAAATAAGAGCTCCAAGTGAGTGCAAAGTAGTATCAGTGGACTCAATAAGTAAAACAGCAATTTTTGAGTCAGTTTTCACAATAATTTTAGAGATTCCTTTCCTAGCAGCAATTTCCAAGCCATCTCTAATAGCCCATAATTCTGCAGCAATACTTGTGGTCCATCCAATGCTTCGTGAGGAGCCAACCATCCATCTGCTAAGATGGTCACGTAACAAGCCTCCTCCCCCAGCTATACCAGGATTACTAAGGGCAGAACCATCCATATTTAATTTAGCAAAACCTGGGGGAGGTGACCAGCCCATAGAAACAATGGTTTTAGGTTGAAAGGTAGTAAGAGCAGGTTGGAGTCTAATGAATTCCTGTGCTCTATCCAGAGTAGAACATTTCAGATCAAAAATAGAGATATGTTTGTTATCACGCACAAGTTGATTTCTAGAATGCCAGATGCACCAAACATCATATGAAAAAACAGTAGGCCAAGTGGAAGATTTTAGGTTTTCTTTTTGAAATTGAGTATATTGGCTTTAATATAAGTATTGTATTTAATTTAAAATTAATTAATAATAAATAAAATAATTTTTTATATTTATTTTATATATTTATTTATTATACAATACTATTTACTAGATTTGTTACAGTAGTAATTTTCTTAACAGA